GTAAATCAAGCACACAACTTACCTACGACAACATAAGCAAGTTGTGTGCTTGATTCACATAGTACAACTCAAGTTGTAAGCAGGTTGCATGCGACAGTTTTAGGCAAAAGTTGTGTGTGTAAATCAGCCTTAAAGCTGTATTCTAAAAGTTCACTCACTCTGAAAGAGTGGAGGTTCAATCTGAGCTTCCCTTGAGTGTCATTGCTGTTTTTGAATAGCTGGAGAGTCAGTGTCGTACCTTACTATGTGACTGCTCACCCTCCAGCTATTCAAAAACAGCATTGACACTCAAGAGAAGCTGAGAATGAACCTCCACTCTTTGAGTGTGGTGAGCTTGTAGAATACAGGAGAATGTTTCTTACCAAAACGATTCTTCTTCACTAAGGTACAAAAGTGCAATTGCAGCCAAACGATTGAGACCCTAGGAGACAAGATACTCATATAACTATTAATCCCAATGCCCTCGTTTTTATGTGGTTATTTCAAATAATTTATAAATAATTTAGAGTGAAATTGTTCTTACCTGACAGTAACCGATTTCTTTATTGTGTAAACTGAAAGCCAACAGAACGCGACGTAGTTGATCAATCTGGTAAAAGCAAGCAACATGGATCATATATCGGAATGGCAGGACAGCAGGTTCCATTCCAGCCAGAGTTCATATAGTTGCATTTCTCGCAACGGCTGCACGCGTAAAAACGCACAGCTTGTAACAAGTCTGCAAACAAGTTGTTACAAGTCTGTCAACAAGTTGTGTTCGCATTGTTTGTTCCCAGTTTGTTGTAACAAGTTTGAAACAAGCTGTTAACAACTTGTAACAAGCTTCATGGCATTATCAGCCTTGTTACAAGACTGTGCTAACATGTTTGTTACAGCCATGATACAACAAGGATGTTACAAGTTGTCAACACAAGGTTGTAACAATCTTGTTATATCAAGCATGTAACGGACTTGTCCGAACAACCTTGCAACAAGTCCGATAATTTCGACAAGGTTGTTACAAGTTGTTCCAAACATGTTGACAACTTGTGACAAGCAGTGAGAATACATCTTGTTGACTTGTTGTAGCAAGTCTGCTAACAAGCCATCAACAAGTTGTGTTCGCAATGCTTGTCCCAAGTTGTCAACAAGTTTGGAACAAGCTGTTAACAACTTGTAACAAGCTTGATGACCTTATCAGACTTGTTGCAAGGTTGTTCTAACACGCCCGATACAGTTATGATATAACAATATTGTTACAACCTTGTGTCGTCAACCTTGTAACATTCTTGTTATATCACGACTGTATCAGACGTGCTAGAACAACCTTGTAACAAGTCTGATAATGCCATCAAGCTTGTTACAAGTTGTTAACAGCTTGTTCCAAACTTGTTCCAACAACTGGGAACAAGCGGTGCGAACACAACTTGTCGACAGCTTGTGAACAGATTTGTAACAACTTGTTTGCAGACCTGTAACAACTTGTGCGTTTTACATGTGTAGGTCTGATACACACGTAAAAACGTACAAGTTGTAACAAACCTGCAGCCGACTTGTAGCAATGCTGTTCCAACAACTTGTCAACAGGATGTGTTCGCACTGCTTGTTCCCAGCTTGTTGACAAGTTCTCAACGGCTTGTTGACAACTTGCTACAAGGTTGTTGAGCTCAACAGACTTGTTACAAGTTGTTCCAACAGCTTGTTATCGTCCTGCAATTCAACAATTTGTCAACAAGTTGTGAATGACAACCTTGTAGCAACTTGATAAAATAACAGCATTGTTACAACTTGTTGACAAGCATGCTACAAGTCTGTTGCGAACACATCTTGTTGACAAGTTGTGCGTTTTTACGTGTGTAAATGTGTAAAATTTACAATCAAAATTTCCAACAACAAAAGCCTTGCTACTCACCCCATCGGCATTCTGTTTATCATAGTATTTATTATTGGGTAAAGTTCTCAACAAGTCCAGTCCAATTTGTTTCTCAGCTGGGCAAAAAGAGTCCTTCTTTGAAGCGAGCAATCGTTTATAGTAACCAGACCCAGAGACGCGCTTCGTGCGTTTCACGTGACAGTTGACACATTTCATCCATATTTTTGCACGCAGGTCATGAGGAACGCCGGCGCGGATCAGATTCTTTAATTCAGGCTATAGGGAATAGGTACAGGATTGATACATATCCAAATATTCCAAATAAATATGGTATCGGTGGAGTTTAGTTAGCAACACAACAGAGGATGGTGAACGTCAAAAATGTTGAACTTATAGGAATATCAATTTTTGGTACAGTAC